GCACCGCTAATGTTTAGAGCAATCGCCAATCGTCCCAACTGGTATTGCTCTTACTGAAAGAATTATTTTCGCCGAATTTTTAGATACCGTAACCAATGGCATCATTTTACTCAAAACGAGAACATAGTTTCGGTTTTGGCTGCTGTGCCGCCTCGCCTCGCTGCATTTCAAATTCTTGATGATTTCTTTGCTTTTGCCTGCAATGGTAAAGTACACGGAATTATTTTATTGAAATAATTATGGCGCTGTTTGACTTAGAACGAGCACATAGCTGCGTCACTTCACCTCGCTACATTAAAAACTCATCAAAATTTCTTTGGTTTTCTTTACAATGATAAATAGAACACGAAATTACGCTTTAAATGTGTACCTAAATCAATTTCAAAGACATATCGACGCTTTTAATATAACATTTCCATTTAAGTGAATTTTAAAAAGTTCACCATTCCCCAATAATGCAGTCAAACGGTCGTAGAAGGTGGAAAGTTCTGGTGTTCTTCCTAGTGGTTTATTTTATGTTTTTTTTGGTGTGATGAACACGAATCTGTCTGTCCAACAAAAAATTTATGAGAAATCAACAAAAAAGTAAAGCAACGCAAGCTATTTACGCAAGAAGTGGTTCTATTCTAAAATAAAGAGGAGAAAATGATCTAAAATTTATGTCTCTTAACATTTTTTTGTATGTCGTATGGTTTTCACGCAAAATAGTGTTGAAATATTAGGGAAATCTTGCAAAATAGAACAAAATCAGGTTTAAAGTTAGCATATAATTTTGCAAAAAGCAATAAAATTGAATACCCCAGTGCAATCAGACATCAGAACTAAAATATCGCACCTTCAAAATTCTCTAAATTGTTGTGCTTTAAAGTAAACTCTTAAAGAATTTGCTGTGCTGCAGCCTCAAAAGGAGGAAGGGATGCCAAATCTGCTTTTATATTGAATGCAGACCTAACACCTAAGGTAGCATTTATACTTCAATTTGTTCAAGCACCAGTATTAGTAAGTGTGGTGTCACACTATGCGTTTTTACCGTTCCCGCTAAAACGGATGCGGTTTGACAGGATGAGATCTTCTTGTCACACTATTCCGGTCTAACGGGATGCGTTTTTGCTATATTTTGGCAGTCTAAGTAGTGTCATGCCTCAATTATTGTTAAAGATGGTTTGTGCGTTTGAGGCGGAGGGGTTATTGCGAAAGCAGAATATCCTCAATATTGGATTGATCTTTTTAATTCAGGACGAGAATCTAATAATAAAAAATTCGAATGAACAAGAAAATTTTTTTTTTTGTATATTACCGTCCAAAAATTCAATTTCTACCCATGATTTCTCCCTACAGTTTTTATCTACATACTCTTTAGATTGTTTTTCCCACAGTGCAGTTTTTGCATGCACGCACTCGATGAATAAACCGACATCAAACATTGTAAACCTAACAAAACACCCGATTGCAACGCTCAGTATGACAACTGATGACAACCAACATGCAACAACACGTGGTTTCATGTCATTGTGGTTGTCATGTCATCCTGCGCAGCGGCAGCAGGATGCGGTTGCATCCGGTTGGTGCGGCGAAAACGCATATATGTGACTGGTACCATTTAATAACGTGTGATATTATCATCCCATCAAACAGGAGCGTTTTAGCGGGAGCGGTAAAAACGCATAGTGTGGCACCACACTAATAGCGTCACCATGTGCCTTAGAATCTTTAAAGGTCTTGGTCAGAGCAGGGCCTTTCTTGGAGGTTTGGAGAGACCTCATTTTTCCTACTTTTAACGATGATTTAGCGCATTTTCCATGCATTGATCGGTATTTCCCAAAAGTCCACAGCTATGCTACAAGCACTTATGGTTAAAATGTCAAAGAAACGTGTCCATAATAATCCCAAGTTGTCATTGGGCGATCTGCGCATGCCCACACTTGATTTTTACAATATGCGATATGTTTGCCTTTACTAAAAGCATTACATCAAAGAAATATCTCCATAAATAAGAGTTGGCATTGAGTAGTCTGCGCATGCGTACATTAATCGTAATCGTATTGTTTAACGAAATTCTGTTAATTATAGGTTGGGGAAATTTAAGAAAGCAATTTCGCCAAAACTATGGTAAATGTACAGATTTTAAGCAATGAAGTAACCCTTTCAGGAAACTCATATACTCTGGCATATTAAAATGGACGAAATTATTCAACCGTTTAGAGAAAAGTATAGAAATACCTAGGCAAATATAAGGTGAACAAATGGCAATTTAAACGTAATTTTGTTACTTATTATACACATAAAAGAAGTGGACATTTAAGTCGGCGGAAGCTAAGAAGTGTGGCAACGTTTAAACTGTGACGGAAGCTTTTGAGCAAATTGTACACTTTGCAAAGGAAATATGAGGAAATAGCGAAATTAAACGAACTGCAGGAAAAAAAATGTAAAGAAGTCTTGGTGGAAATAGTATGGAAAATATAAGAAAAGTAATATGAAATTTTAATGGAATTCTTAGAGAAAAATGTGAAACAATTCAATTTTACGGAAAAGGTAGCAACTTTTGTAGGTAAAATCGTATCAATTTATAGGAAATATGGGAACGAAAAAAAAATGGAAGGAAATTCAGTGGAAATTTAACGCAGTTTTTAAGGAAATGGAAATTCTCATTATATAGGAATAGAAGGAAATTGGGGAAATTAGACGATTCCTAAAGTAGGTAGCGTAGGGTTTGTATTTTTAGATTTATTTCGAAAATTGATCATTTAGAATATTTAGAAGCAATCACATTGCCAAACTGATTTTACTTTTTAAAAATTACTGATTTACTATAAAAGATCTAAACATTATTAGTAGTTAGTATACCTAAGTGCCGCTGCCGAATAACCTCGGTGGTTGGTGCACCTACAAATAAGTTAAAAAAAAACAATAGTTCGTTTTCCTCATTCCAGTCATACGCAACGATATAAAATATCTTACACTATCGATCACTCAGAGTTTGTTTAGTCGCCTCTTACGACACGCAGCACCCTCTGCGGTAGGGGTATTCTTGATCCCGCCCCTACACGGGTAAATTCGAGGGTAAATCAGTTGCTGTTGCTTACTCTTAGCCTAGCACAGATACGTGCTTAGCTCCGCTTTACTGAAGAAAATGTAATGCGGCATTTTTCTTTTATATTCGCTTTATGGTGTGCGCTGGGTAATAAATAAACAAAGTCTATCAAAAAAAGAAGAAGGTTTAAAATCTAATAATAAATTATCAACTTCCGTTTAAAAAACAGTATCCAAGCAAAGAATACTTAATAATTATTTGAGTAATATTATTAGTTACTCTTTGATCCAAGCTTCGTCGCCTTTCTTAACGAAAGTAATAGGGGATGATTAGATAGCAAGTGTTCAATGATTCGAATTATAAATCATCCCTTGCTATAAAGTTCTTACATGTATGCTCAGTTAACAGTTTCATTAAAACCAATCTTCAATTTTAATCGTCTTAGGGAAAGTAATACGATCGATCAATTTTAGGGGTGATTAGGGTTCAAATGTTTATTGATTCTAAATCTACGCGTGTAGTCCTTTAAATATACTTGCAGGTTTTTACGTTTATGCTCATTTTCATTGCCTTTCTTAGGGGAAGTAATGGGGATAATTCCTATCATTTTAGGGACGATTAGGTAGCGATTGTTCAAATATTCGGATTTAATATCAATTTACACGTAGGTATAGTTTCTTAAAAAAACTTAGTTTCCCTTAGGTTCATTTTCATTACCAATAATTCGTGTTCACAAAAATTCGTTGTGGCAATGCTAATTTTCATTTGTTTCTGTGGGGAAATCTACTTACTACTGAAAGGCGAGTATTGATAATAATAGGAATGTAAAAGAAAAATCTATTGGCGTGAGAGATTTAGAAAAATTCAATTCTTTTAGTGTAGGTAGCGGCCCAGGTTCTCTTGAATTTATTTGAGAAAGGAATTAGCTCGGGAATTAGTAAACTGAACCGTTGCTTTAATCAGAAACAAATTCTCAATCTGTTGTCAATTTGAAAGCTACTTTAAAAACATAATATTTTACATAATTGTGTTTGACATAGAAAACCATAACATACGGTACACCATTCTTGATACTGAAAATGAAAATAAAATTTTACTTTTGTTGCACTCCATTCTAACGTCTCATTTTTAATACCATTCTTATTTGAATTACTCTTAAAAGTGTTGTAACAATCAAATATAATAAACCACTAATTTCGTAAAATTGTGTTTTATTAAATTCTTCCACGGCGAGGCGGAAAATTGAACAAAGAAAGCGACTTTATTGGACAGGTTACGCAAAAATAAAAAAATGCCTATTTTTAGGACAGTGGTGTATTCATTTCCATCGCATATTCCATACACAGTGAAGTAATTTATCAGTGCTTTTGCTATCTGTACTATCATGAAGGATATGAAGACGATTAATGATGTCGAGTTATTCCATTAAATTTTTTTAATAAATCTACGAAGGCGTAGAAAGGACATCCATTAAAATATTTTTTCCAATTACAATATTAATATTTATTTCGTATTATATCTCGAAATTAATATTTATTTTGTGTTGATAACCCGAAATTAATATTTATCTCCTGTTACTATCGCGACATTAATATTAAGTTCGTGTTATATCTCCAAAGTAACATTTATTTCTAATTTCAAGATATTACACGAAATAAATGTTACATACGAGATATAAGACGAATACAAATTGAGATAGTAACACGAAATAAATATTAATGTAACACAAAGTAAATATTAATATTGTGCCAGAAAAAAATATTTTAATTGATACCCCCGCCCCCCTTTACTCATTGTATTGGAATCAACAATTTCTTTTTTTCTCAAATTTATTTTTTTTGTTTTTGTTGTGGTGCATTAATTTATGCTTATTTTTCAACCGAGATGTATTTAAAAACTTTTGTTTAGGAGTTGATTTTAAACACAATTGTGTCAAAAAGTTGGTAAATAAAAGAGATTTTTTAAATAACATTTATTTGATTCGTACATGTATTTAAAAAAATCTTAACTAGTTTTGTAGGTAATCATACTTATACTTTTGCACGATATAGCACTAACATCTTTATATATTTTACAAAGCTAATTTCATGGCTTGAACACAGTATAAAATACTTGAAAAAAGTAAAAAATAACAATATTTACAAATGTACACATACCTAATTAAAAAATAACCTAAACGTAACTTTCACTTTCAGAATCCGTAACTAAAAGCAGTCTTGCTGTGGCGTAAGTGGGCGGCGGGGGAGGTGGAGGTCGGTAGATTGGAGGCAAGTGAACGGGGGGCAGATGTCGTAGCACAGGGGGTCGACGTGGTGGAATCGGCGGACCGCACAAGCTCTCATTGGACGTACAGAAGGCCTCGTCTTCCTCGATCCACGCGTTGTCGAACGAACGCATTCGAGCCGCTTGTCTGGCCCAGTCGGAGCGATGGAAGTTGTTGGTATTTGTGAAGCTTAAACCAGGACTGTCCCTGTCGTCCTCCGATAACGTAAGCCCTGAATCACGACTCAGAGATTTCTGATCCTTGCTCAACTCCGCGCTGTCTAACGAAAGACCTAAAGCTATCGACAAATAAAGGCGCGCGAAATTTAAAAGTGGAAACTTACAATGCAGACTGTCCGACTCCTCGGCGCCGCTGTCACTGGCCGCCTCTCCCAAAAGCGAGACAACTTGGGGCCCGAACAATGACTGGCAGTTATTGATGAGCAGCTCGATTAGTGTGGGCAAGGTACGCATGGGAGCGTTCTGGCTTGACTCCCACAGCAAACTCGGCCCGACGCATAAGCCCAAATTCGCCGCAGTCATCAGATTATACCTCGCCCTTTTCGCGACGTGATACAAAACGCACAAGACGTGCGCTAACAACGTGTGGTTCTCTCTGGGCAGCAAACTCAGCAGTCTTCTGATGTGTTCGATTCGGCCCGAACTGGCGGCGTTAAGCCACTCTTGCACGTTGCCATTCAGCAAAGGCTCGGGAAGACTTCGTAAAAAATCCTTCAGCAATGAGGCCAATAGCAACGCGTTAGTGTTCGCCAGCTCCTCGCACACATTCGTACCTGAAATTAGAATTGAGACCTGCAGATGGCTTTACCAATTCCACTTACAGTGATTGTCAATTTTCTCGCGAAGTTCCCTGAGTGCCCTAGCAGAGGCGCAACGTCTGAAAATTCCCTGAGTATGGGGGCCTCTTTGAAATAGCCCTCTTAAAATTACACTAATGGCAGGAGGTAAAGTACTATTTACACACAGTCTTGTTAAAGCTACTCCAAAAATTCGGCCGCTACTCTTCCGAAACAGTTTCAAGGGTGTTCTGGAAACAAAAATTGAACTTTTCCATTCAGTCGATCGGCGCTCTTACTTTTTTGGTGTCGGTTTGCAAGTGGGTTTGAGCTCGAAGATTATTCCGCTTGGAATTCGGTTATTGTTACAGTGGGTGAGATCGAAACCTTCTTCCGCGCACAGCGACTGTCGCAATCTTGCTAGCTGAATGGAGTGGGGGCGTTCGCAACCGAGCAATGGGCAAGGGGCTGCATCGCGTTCTCGTGCCCATAGAGTGTAGGTATTTTCCGAGGCGCGAGAGTCATCTAAAGCTAATCTGGCAATATCTCCGGTATTTGTTTCGGGACCGATACCAAGAGTTTTGGACTGGAAGAAGGCGTTTTGGCAACTGCTCACGAAGAAGTCTCGGGTACTTACGCATTCCGTTCCGCTTTGTGGGTCGCGGTATATCACTTTAATGTTTGTGGTGGGTGGCTCGAGCCTCAGCTGGGCGGACAAGGCTTGCTGCAGCTCCCTCCACCAGGAATCTCGAGCTGCTTGCGTGCAGAACGTTACGATGTACGTCCTTGCAGGCGCAGGGTAACCCAATAGGAAGCCGGTTTCGCACTCCGAATATGGGGCTAACCACAATTCGGATACGCGCACGCTTTCCTTCAACTTAAAATTGCCACCGGTGCGCGGTTTCGCCACCAACAGCAGATCGGAGAAGAGGAACAGGTGCCTTGCCTTCGCCTGAAGGGAAGCCTGTGTGGGTGCCATCGCGCAGGGTGCCTCCATGATGAATATTCGATTTGTTTGACATACGCCGTGATCTTGTATGTGTAGATCTCCGAGGGATTTCTTGCGAAACGATCTAGTTTTCTGTAACAAAAAAGATTCGCAATTACGTTACTGTGACGCCACTATGTCGCATCCTTATTATTAAGTGGCAAAAAAGCAAGGTAAGTTAATCATTTGAGTCACGGCAAGTTTTTCTGATTCGTTTAGCAAAATGGTTAAAGTAAAAGGTCTGGCTTGAATGATTCAGTTGATGTGTGTTGCGGAATTTTCATAAATAGCACCTAAGTTACGTAAAGCAGGCGGTTACAAAACAAAGAATTCACTTCTAAGAAACCATTTTTCAAAATTAACTCCACTGGAATTAATATTATCGTATGCAAATGGACTAAAAGCTCACTATAAAAAAATTGATAAGTAGCACAAAAGTGAATCGACCACCCTGGAACGTTCTAGAATGTTCTGTTCTGATGAAACGCTACCGATCAGCTTTGATAAACTAAAAGTAAACCTCGTGTCATTTTGAGTCGTTAGATCAAACTTTGCACCTACCCCCACCAAAAGTGATACAAAAATTCAATTTTTTCAAACATTCCCAATATATAAAACAGTCCATCTGTCCAGCCAAACGGTATAAATTCTCCACAAAAGCAACACAGAAACATTTTACCACAATGTCTCTCCTAGCGCCTAAACATTATTTTTAACACCCGCACGTTAGTCAGAGAGTTATTGCATTGAGGTAAAAAATAACTCCCCACCTTTTTACGGAAATGCACGTTTTGATGCACCAGGAATACGAATAAAAAAAAATATCGGTGATGGTGGTCTGCTAATGTTCTCATTTCCGGCAAAAAACGATTGGAATCAAATGTGGGACACATATTCCTAAACCTAAAAGGAAGAGGTGAATAGCTTTTGGGCACAACACCTTTACTTTAGGGTATTAAAAGAACAACTTTTACCATCGAGGAAATTTGTTTCATAGAGAAGGATAAACTATTGTTTTCTTTACTATTATTTACCATAACGCGCGAATTGCACAATTCACGAAAATGACAACAATTGATCCCACACATATCACAGACTAACACAATTTGCAAAATTTGTAGTCGATTTTTAAACCGCCCCACTCCGTTGCAATACCTGTCGAGGAACTCCATAATTATCAAACAATTAGGTCCACCATAACTCGTACATCTAATCAGAAATTCATTATATCTAATAGTGGCACCTCACTTAATGAAATGAAACTATTATTAATGGGTCGTTATACAAATTCCATTCGCAAAATTAAACACCGTTTCTAATGCCTACCGTGTGGGTTGTATAGACCAAATTGCGTCCGTGAAACAATTCAATAAATAGGTAAGAAAAAATTATAAGCATAATACAAAAGACGTTGTCTTCTTTTTTAATGCCTTTGGCCAATTCCTTTCAATTTCGTCCACATTTATAATAGGAATAAGCATGTTTGTTGCAAAAACAATTATAAAAAAGTTGCATGGAAAAATGAGAGGTTACTTTTACGATTTCAAAGGCTCCTAATTTTCTTCCAGGAATATTTCTACTATCCCCAAAACGATTCTCAGGTTTCTGATCCCAGGAATCTTCTTAAGGAGATTTGTACCAGGAAATTTCTTGCAAAAGAAAAACTCCAAGACAATTTTTATGAAATCTGAAAATCAAAATAACTTCCACACTTTTCCAGACTTTCCACAGAGCATTTCTACAGGTATCATTAACAATGTTTCTAATACTCCTAGTATTTTCTAAGGAAAATCTTGAATAAAATTCAATTTTTGAAACTATCTAGGGGTTTCTTACTTTTTAAAGTTGTCTCGCTCTAAAAAGATTTTCTTCTTTAATAACCATAAGAGTTACAAAGACTGGTGGCAAGCCTTTGAATAGGCTTTGGGATAAGTATGCCCTTTCCGTTTTTTGCAAAATTTTTTTCAAAATTCCTACCACTAAACTGCGCACCCCTCAACAGGGATCAGAGCTGGGCAGTATTCGATTTTGTAAATACTTTTTAGTATTCAAATCCTTTAAAGTATTCAAATACTTTGTAATTAAATACTTTTATGGAAGCAGTATTTGTTTTTGGAACTCAAATACTTTCACAAATATTTAGTATTCGAATACTTCGCATAGTATTTGAATACTTAACCTTCCTTTTTTTACCAAAAATCGACTACACCAAAATTTCTCGGGAAAACACTTTTTCTTATTAATTTTGGTGCGTAGAATCCAAAACAATTCGTACATTTTCGATTAGACCTCTCAATAAAAAGTTATGGACAAAAAACAAATTTCGAAAAAAAATTCAAAAGGCTGTAACTTTTGAACTAGTAGCCCAATCTTGGAACTGTTTGAAATTATGGATTCTACAGGCCACATTCTATAAGAAAATTTTTTTTCCGGGTCGATCTGAGACAATTTTTTTTTTCGGGGCTCAAAAAAAGGCAGTGTATAACCTTCCTTTTTTACCAAAAATCGACTACACCAAAATTTCTCGGGAAAACACTTTTTCTTATTAATTTTGGTGCGTAGAATCCAAAACAATTCGTACTTTTTCGATCAGACTTCTCAATCAAAAGTTATAGACTAGAAACCAATTTCGAAAGAAAATTCAAAGGGCTGTAACTTTTGAACTAGTAGCCCAATCTTGGAACTGTTTGAAATTATGGATTCTACAGGCCACATTCTATAAGAAAATTTTTTTGCGGGTCGATCTGAGACAATTTTTTTTTCGGGGCTCAAAAAAAGGCAGTGTATAACCTTCCTTTTTTACCAAAAATCGACTACACCAAAATTTCTCGGGAAAACACTTTTTCTTATTAATTTTGGTGCGTAGAATCCAAAACAATTCGTACTTTTTCGATTAGACCTCTCAATCAAAAGTTATAGACTAGAAACCAATTTCGAAAGAAAATTCAAAGGGCTGTAACTTTTGAACTAGTAGCCCAATCTTGGAACTGTTTGAAATTATGGATTCTACAGGCCACATTCTATAAGAAAATTTTTTTTCCGGGTCGATCTGAGACAATTTTTTTTTCGGGCCTCAAAAAAAGGCAGTGTATAACCTTCCTTTTTTACCAAAAATCAACTACACCAAAATTTCTCGGGAAAACACTTTTTCTTATTAATTTTGGTGCGTAGAATCCAAAACAATTCGTACTTTTTCGATTAGACCTCTCAATCAAAAGTTATGGACAAAAAACAAATTTCGAAAAAAAATTCAAAGAGCTGTAACTTTTGAACTAGTAGCCCAATATTGGAACTGTTTGAAATTATGGATTCTACGGACCAAATCCTATAAGAAAATGTTTTTCCCCGGTCGATCTCAGACAATTTTTTTTTCCGGCCTCAAAAAAAGGCAGTATGTACTTTTAAGTTATTCAAATATTTGAGAACAATCCAATTTGCAAAGCGATCGCACGTTTCTAAACAAACTATCATGCACACGGACAAACGGATGGTCAAAAATGGATCTGTTCCAAAATCGCTAGGATTAATTTCAGAAAGGCGTACGTATCATGTGCAGGACGTACGATCGCTTTGAAAACTGGTACACGTATTCTTAAGGATATAACTGGTATAAGAAAGGTCCTGGTAGGTACCTCCTATATAATAATATAATAATAAGATTACGCTTTTACTCCCCTTAAATTTGTATATAACAATAGAAATATAAAAAAAGCTAACCCCATACAAAGTATAACTTGATTTTTTAAGTAGTATTAAGCCTTTTATCTAGTATACTATTTTAAATTTTTAATGTATTTGAGTGACAAGTATTTGAATACTTTTTACTGTATTCGAATACTTTTTATAGTATTCGAATACCTTTGATAGTATTAGAATACTTTTGAAAGTAATAATACTTTTGAAGGTATTCGAATACATTTTAAAGTATTTGAATACTTTTCAATGTATCTGTATCTAGTATTCGCTTATGCTGGACGTAAAAGTATTTAGTATTCAAATACCTTTGATTTGTTTCAAGTATTTACTATTTAGTATTCAAATACTTTTTGAAAGTATTCTGCCCAGCTCTGACAGGGATGCGAAAAAAATTCTGATTTCGACGAATTTTTTGATATTTGTAACATTTTCAACCAACAAATAACTTTTTAAAAAACTGTTCCTTAAGTCATCAAGTAGGTACACAACAAATTTTCGTTGTCCGGCCAACAATTACAGGGGATTTTTTTTGAATTTTCAAAAACTAATTTCAGATTCGTGATTTTCATGTTCGAACGCCCCCAGATTTCGCACTCCTGTTTAGGGGAGCGTCCTTTTGTGTAGGAATTTTGAAAAAATGTTTGCAAAATCGGAAAGGGCATAGCTGACATAAAAATTAAAGAAGAAATGCAAATTTCATGAGGGTGGCTCACAAACGAAACACGTTGAACCCTCGGCTTATTTGGAAAAGGTGCATGTTTTGACCCCCCCTTACCACCCAATTTTAATTTATTAATTATATTAAAACATTATATTATATATTAGGAATAAATGCCATTTGTTCCATTTTTGAATAAATGAGGTAAATATTTTTTTTCCAAAAGAAAATATGTGAATTTTTGAAGTGATTTGGTTCAATTTTTTAATATATATGTAATGACATTGCCATTCAATTTTTCCAACATTTATATAACATTTAGAAACAATTTGGGGTAAAAGTAATGTCAATAGCATAATTTGATTAATTTTTTTAATTCATTGCCCTTGCATTTATATCAGGAATAAGAGCTGTTTGTTCCATTTTCGTATAAACAACCATTCGAATCAGGCACAAAAATTTTTTAATATGCTCCCAAAACATATTCAAAATCTTGACAAAGTGCAAATCAAAAAAATGCTTAAAAGACACCTTATCAATAAGGCATATTATTCCACCACAGAATGTATTCACGATGGGTTTAGTAATCTCTAATTGTTAGTAATTTGTTTATTTATTTATTTGCTTGTTGATATACGTTGTTTGTGATCTCTACTATATATTTTTAGACGAATGCGTAGTAGCATGAAAAATAAATATTAAATATTATTATTATAAAATGGGTTAAGTGCTTTTTATTTACGACATATTTCTTTACCCCACACTAACATTAAAAATAAGAAATGTTTATAGCAATTTCGAAAAAATGGATGGTATTTTTAAATGTCTTTCATTTACTTTGGTTTACATTTTCTTCTACATTTACAATAGAAGTAAAGGCTCTTTATAGAAATTTCAAATACATAATTTTTTTAAAGTGTTTTCAAATTTAATTTTTAATTCGTTAGCCATCACATTGTTTTTCAACCCCTTTCTACTTTTACATCGGCAATATGGGAGTTCGTTTCATTTTCGAATAAAATGAGCATTTTTAAGTGATCTTTATTTTGATTTTTCATTAGCGATGACAATACCTTTCAGTCTCTTTTACATTTATATTAGAAATAAGGGCTATTTCTTCCATCTCCTACTAAAAGAGGTTGAATTTGTATATGCTTTTTAATTAATTATTTAGTACACTCGCTATGATGACGCTGCCTTTTAATCTTCTATATAAATTGGTATGCCCTCATTGATTTTCCTTGAAGTGGCTATGATACTAAAGTGGTTCAGAGAAGACGGTAAAGTAAGGGGATGGTTTCAAATTTTTATTCATGGAGGGCGGATGGCACCAGACTTGCTAGGGCATTCTCAAATGGCACATCATAGAAGCGGACAATTCTGAGTCTGGTGACGAGTTAGATACTCGAACCTCCTTTCCTCAAGGGTGGAGAACAGAACCACTTTTAGGTAAAGGAACCCTAAAAAACACAAAATAAAGAAATTGCATTTTATTCGTTGAACTGAAAAGGAATAAAATTCTAATGGAATAAACTGATCCGGCTACTTACATCCAAGTTTACCTTCCAGTTTGGAGAAGGTCAACCTCTAAAAAGTGGGGGTTTTCACAACCCCAATCAATAGCATGACCATCTTGCAACTGATCGTGAGTTAAAGATACTCGGACTAGGACCAGATTTTGAGGATCTAGTTTGATAACCACCGCTGAACTGGCCGAAGAAGATGGTTGGCAACCTCCGGCCATTACGGGTGAATGCAGGAGGAGCGGTTAGATCGCGTGACATGTTAAGCACCCTAATCTTCATCACATCCATACTGAGGGGGAGTAAGTGAGAGCTATAAAGAAAACCGACTGCAGTAGAAGAAGGATATTAGCAGATTCCAGGGGGAGGAGAAACACTAAATACAGAAAAATTCCAATCAATTTATTTTTGATTTACTTCCTCATAGATCTTTTCCAAATTGGTCTCTACGATTTGTTTGGATGTGGGCGTCGTCTCTAATGAGGAAATGCGAACTCCACACACGAGGTGCCGAAAATTCTCGTTCTGATTTGATGTAATTTAGATAATTTGTTCCGTATAGGTGTCATTTGTTTATATACACCTCGGCCGTTACGACAGAGATATTTATTGAAGGATTCGTCGTGAGTGTTTCAACATTTCTTTGCTCTTCTCCAACATCTCACGGTAAATTAATGTTTGCGTAATATACGATGTTTACGTATAAGTGACATGTTGAAATATAAAACATGCACGCAACGGCTTAATATGGACGATTTCGTAATGGTTCTAAATAATATTTACTTATTCAACAAATGTTTAGAATAGCAATAAAAAGGTGTAAAGTTGAACGATCGCGGAACGTACTAGGAAAAAAGGCGTATAAATAATGTATTTACTTACGGCATTATTTATGGAGGGCTCCTGCTCATGTAATCCGAGATAATCATGAGGAAACAAATCCTGAATACGATCTAAATCGCGTCTTTTGCCATCGAGTGACGGTTGCGAACCACCCATTAATCTTCCATAATCCGCCAATCGTTCGGCCTGCAACAAATTAATTCTTTTAGTTCCAGAATTCCGCCAGACAGTCTGTCTGCTGAATGCGTATTTTTAATCCGAGTTAAATCGGGTTCTGGTGTACTATTTTCACCTCGTTAAATTTAGAGGTAATCAAACGCATGGTTTATAGTTCGATTACATAAAAAAAAACACGTGGGAGGTGAAGAACCTAGGCCCAGCTAAAATCTAATTAGCAATTTGCATACGATAGCTTTAGGTCATTCGTGGTCGCTCATTAAAATTCCTAAGCGCAGCAGGCTCACCCTTTCAGGAAGGAATCTGCAAATGATCCTGGGAAATGAAACGCCCTTTTCGAGAATACTCGCACGCATGGTGACACCACCACCACACCGCGAAGACTGCGATATCAGTAGTTCGATTGAAAAATTCCTTACAATTTTTGGCAAATACACAAAAAATTGCAATGAATGAAAACTAGGTTACCCAATTAATTGAAGATGTTTTCGAAATACCGGCGGAGGTCGCACCGACGACACAAGTCCTGCAAACCACAATTTGCATGCATGGAATTCGCACTCGGCCTTCGACGTACAAATTTGGCAGAAACTCTACCGGAAAACTGGAAAAAAATTTAATCGGCCAAGGTGCGACCCGAAGGTTAAGCATGAGCATGCATGAAAATGGTTTATCGACAGCCTCTTACATAAAAGATCTACCACTTTTACACAGCAAAGTGGGTGTTGTAATAACTTACGAAAGTAACGAGGGAGTGTAAAACCCTAATTACAAAAATTGCGATACGGCTTCGTGACTCTTTAATTTGCTGAAATTAAATGAAAGCTGTAAGGACCTGCCCATTATCTTAAACTCATCTTAACTACTTTCACTTGATCCCTTTCAGCATGTCAAATGGAATTTATTTACGCAATTAATATGGTCAATTGATAATTTATGCAGAGTCCAGAGTTTTAGATTTACAGCGAGCTATAAAATGTTGGCTATTGTAGGGGGCAAACAAAGCATATATTTCCACTGGACGTTTCAGGTAGTTGTTATTTATGATACGTGCTTTTAGTGTCTCTTTGATTGGCATACATTTTGACAAGAAACGCACTTCGCCTTGAAAGAGGTTTAGTTCCTAATTTGGCTGAAAACATCACATTTCAATATGAAATTCCGCCAATTTCTGCATTTGTTAAAAAACCCTGCATTAATTTAACATTGCTATTGGGCAAAATTTCTTATGTCAAAGGAAAATATCAGAAACCTTTTTCGAATTAGAATAAAATTTTTATCTTGAAACTGAATTGACAATTCCCTTTAAACACCTTTGAAACTCTTTTAAATTTCTCGAAACTTTTTTTTAAAACGAGCCTACTCTCTGGGTTTGAAAGTTTGGTAAGTGAATGAATCGTGTGGGCCTTTAGTACTGTAACTCCGCTCACCTAAAAACAAAGACAAAATAAAAGAAATGAAACCTCTTGAAACTCATGAAATTTTATTGGGGAAGCTCTCTTCAAAGTTTGTCTAAACTCACCAGCTTGAAATGCCAGTGAAACTTCTTTGGAGCCCACTATTGAAACGCCCGGACTCGGCTAGTCTCTTTTGCTTGTGTAATATTTATTCCTACGAAAAATTTGCTCTAGGTATATTCTTGTCCTTTTCCGGAAAGCATTTTTTTTTAAATAACTGCTCTTGGAAGGGAGGCATTTGCATTCTGATGGTGAACTTTGGTGATGTCCTTCTTCCTCACGCCCACTTATTTACTATTTATTTCGTGCTCCATGTCCATCTGAGCGTGGTGTTCAGCAACATTACACCAAAAAACATCATAGATCAACTACTAAACGAGTATCTATATACGTTCAGCGGCTACTCAACCTGATCCTATTTCTACCTTCTAGTGACAGGGCTTCGGAAGTTAAGGAGCTGTCAAACTTCTTAAAAAAATGTCCCATCAAAAAAAGATTTTGCTTCCAAATGTGGTGTACAACAGTGAGATCCTTTGGGATAAATTTGATTATCATGGATTTAACACACTCTCTAAACTCAGACGTCGTCTTGATGATGGCACAGTCGGTGGCAAGTTCGATGATGTTTCAATGATGTGGAAAAAGTCATCCAACACCCTGACATCAAATTAAGCAGGGTGGAATGTTGTCTCCAATGCTGTGGTGCCTGGTGCTAGACGGGCTCCTCCGCACCCTGAACAAGGACGTCTGGACAAGGTACAGAGACCTGGAGTCATGAAAACCACGCCAACTCTGGCCATGGAGGCACTTCTGGGACTAGAGCCTTTACATTTAGCTGCAGAAGCAGAGGCTCGGAAGGCTTCCATACAGCTAAATGCGATTGGAACTAGTGGAGGAATCGAGGTAACCTTGATCACGGGCGGATCTAGGAGGAAACCCTCAGGTCCGATCCTCTCCTCGCGAAAAGGGATGCGATACGGGCTGTGGCTGAACTGAGATCGTCCGTTCCTCAAACCTAAGGGGCTCGTTTGGTTAACGGGCGGATCCCTAACAGACAGGGGAACGAGCAGAGCCTACTATAACTATTATTTATTATTAACGATTATTAAACGCCAGAAGGAACGGGAAAAAACGAGCCACTGTATTTCTGTGGCAACGTCGTTCTATTGAAGTTCGATGCAACTGAGATATTGGGAATCATTCCACGTTTTAATTATTTTAGTTCTATTTTCTGATTTGATGTAAATGTTTATAGTTTCCTTAATTCCAATTACATATAAAGCTACTAGCAAAAAAAGGCCAAATAAACTAGTTTTCTCACATGACAATCAGTGGCAATAAAAATGAAAATTGTTGATTTATTTCTGAAAAATAACCCGCTTTCTTAACAAATAAAGACATTTTTGTTATGGCAATAAACTCAATTAAAATTAAGAAAATTGCAATAAACAAAGTAGTTTACGGCGAACAAGTGCAGTAAAAATAATTGAAGTAAAACGTTGCTGTCGAGAACAAATTTAGAAGTCGTAAAGTTACATAAACGATTATTTATTTATACGTGGATGGGCGGTAATTAAGCGAAATAAAAGGACTACTGTCATCGAGGACGCTCTAGAAAAGAAGTTTTTTTGAGGCCACTAGATCAGGTGAATTTATGTAAAAATTACAAAATTAAATAAAATTATTGTTCGAGAGAAAGCGAGCAGGTTGCCGTCGTGCGTAATTTTTCCTCTAAATACCGGAATTACACGTCCACTTTAGTACTTCCTGTAAAACTTCCTTTCTTTTTATGCTCGTAACTTGCGGCGGCATAGCGTAATTAGCCTCATCGATTTTTTTAAAACGGTGGTTTTTTTAGCGAAGTCAGCGCCCTTTAGCGAAAGGCTTTCACTTCGTCATTGTTGGCTTATTAAAAGTGCAATTGTTCTCACGAATATAGTAACAATAGCACGCAATTTATGCGCGTTTATTTATTTAAATTAATGCCATTCATGGTTTTGATTAATCTGCGTGTAATGTGCTGACGGAAGTGAAAATAAAGTGCTTTTTACGCTCATATATACGGTGGTAAATTGCACTAATTACGCCGTTTAGAATTGGGGACATTAAAAGTAAAAGCCCGTCGTCCTTAACGCAGTTTCGCTGGCAAAATTAGCATCTTCTCCAGAGGATACCAATAGCCTTTTCACATAAAAGACTTTGCCCCGGGTTATTATCCTTGGCTACATTTGTTAGTAGGGTATTCGCCCCAAAAACGAACCCTACAAGAGGAAGGACGAGAGAAAATTCCCACGAAACCTCACCCCTTATCCCTTTTTTTTACCAACCGAAAGAAATTTCGCCACTGCGATTGTAAGAGTCAGTAAACAGAGTTGTGGATAACGGATGAAGAGTTCTAGAACTGTTTCTAATAAAGTTCATTGATTCGACGACAAATTCTCGAATTATTTCAGAAATTTGATATATGAACTCAGAAAACTGTTGGAGAAAGAAGTATTCGAAAGAATTGTGTTGTTATATAATTACAAAAATTAAAAAAATTAGAATCAGTATTTGTCATTTAAAAAGAATCGGTTAGATATATCTATATCCATTAACCTAGCCGAGCAAGGTCAGCAGAACACAATCAAACATATTGCATAATTAGGTGCGAGAAAATGAAAAGTGAACTAACTATAATTAGGTGCTAATTAAGTGTCCTATTCCCGAATTAAATGCTCCTTTTTTTTAAATTATGAACCTGGCAGAACATGTAATCATTTTAAAAAAAGGAGCATTTAATTCGGGGATAGGGCACTTAATTAGCACCTAATTATAGTTAGTTCACTTTTTATTTTCTTGGTTTTTTTGAGGTAGTGTTCTGCCGAGTTCATATGAACCTGACAAAACATGGAATAATTTAAAAAAAAGGAGCATTTAATTCGGGAATAGAGCATTTAATTAGCACCTAATTATGCAATATGTTTGATTGTGTTCTGCTGACCTTGCTCTGCTAGGTTCATGGACATATCTCCAACATAGGTTTTTTGCCGGTTCCACCGAGATATTAGAGAACCTGAAAAATCAAAAAACCGATCAAACTACAGGTAATACGGATAAAAGTTCATAGTGAGAGGAAGACAAAAGAAGTTCGAGCGTTATTAGATTCTGATTCTGGATCTCAAAGGACTGACGTTAGGGCTGTCAGGCGTCCCGATTTAGGGGGGACAGTCGCGTGGAGCATTCCCTACGTCAATCATTGAATCACAATGGTGGGAGATACCAAGTTGGTTATTAGATTCTAACAGTTGGCCTAAAACGAGTGAATCTATTGATGAAGAAGCTGTAAATGAGGAAAGGAAAAAGGGAATTGTATATTGTATCAATAATAAAAAGACATGCACATTGCTGTTTTTCGATTTACCGCAAGCTTTTGATATAGTAGATCATAAAAACACTGTACTGTTAAGGGATAAGGGGAGTAGCGCACGAGTGGCATATGCGCTACTTACACAATAGGATCAAATATGTTAATATTAGAAAAGATGGCGCTGATTATAAGTCCGAAATGAA